ACTCGGAGGCAGATCAGGATTCTACCGGAGTGGCTGCTGGTGAGGCACAGAAGCATTTGACATTCTATGAACTTGATTTAGGGCTTAACCATGTGTCTAGGAAGTGGTCGGATCAGGTTGATAATGGGGCGAACATGTTGGTCACGGTGCCTGGTGGTGGTGATGGGCCGAGTGGGGTTTTAGTTTGTGCTGAGAATTTTGTTATCTATAAGAATCAGGGGCATCCAGACATTAGAGCAGTGATTCCTAGACGGGCTGATTTGCCAGAAGAACGTGGTGTTTTGATTGTGTCAGCGGCTACACATAAGCAGAAGTCAATGTTCTTCTTTCTTTTGCAGACAGAATATGGGGATATTTTTAAGGTTACATTGGAACATGGAAATGATGGAGTCACGGAGTTGAAGATTAAGTATTTTGATACAATTCCAGTTACAGCTTCAATGTGTGTGTTGAAAACTGGTTTTCTGTTTGCAGCTTCGGAGTTTGGAAATCATGCCTTGTATCAGTTTCAGGCTATTGGGGATGACCCTGATGTTGAATCATCATCGTCTACATTGATGGAAACAGAAGAAGGTTTTCAGCCTGTGTTTTTCCAGCCTAGAGGGCTTAAGAATCTAGTTAGGATTGACCGAGCTGAGAGTCTGATGCCAATAATGGACATGAAAATTGCTAACCTCTTTGAGGAAGAAACACCTCAGATATATTCACTTTGTGGACGTGGTCCCCGTTCATCATTGAGGATACTAAGGCCTGGTTTGGCCATCAGTGAGATGGCTGTCTCACAGCTTCCTGGTGTCCCAAGTGCTGTGTGGACAGTAAAGAAAAATGTGAATGATGCCTTTGATGCATACATTGTCGTGTCATTTGCCAATGCAACTCTTGTTCTTTCCATTGGTGAAACAGTTGAAGAAGTTAGTGATAGTGGGTTTCTCGATACTACACCTTCTCTTGCTGTTTCATTGATTGGTGATGATTCACTTATGCAAGTTCACCCAAATGGTATCAGGCATATAAGGGAAGATGGACGCATTAATGAGTGGAGAACTCCTGGAAAAAGGACAACTGTTAAAGTTGGCTCAAATGGACTTCAAGTGGTTATCGCATTGAGTGGAGGCGAGCTTATATACTTTGAGGTGGATATGACTGGGCAATTGATGGAAGTGGAGAAACATGAAATGTCCGGAGATGTGGCATGTCTGGACATTGCCCCTGTTCCTGAAGGAAGACAGAGGTCCCGCTTTCTTGCTGTTGGTTCATATGATAATACAATCCGTATATTATCTTTGGATCCTGATGACTGTATGCAGGTTCTGAGTGTTCAGAGTGTATCTTCACCTCCCGAGTCTCTTCTTTTCCTTGAAGTTAAGGCATCGATTGGTGGGGAGGATGGTGCTGACCATCCTGCCAATCTTTTCCTTAATGCTGGTCTGCAGAATGGAGTTCTGTTCCGGACGGTGGTGGATATGATAACAGGGCAACTTTCTGATTCCCGTTCACGATTCTTAGGGCTTAGAGCCCCAAAGTTGTTCTCTGTTAAAGTTAGAGGCCGACCTGCAATGCTTTGCTTGTCTAGTCGACCATGGCTTGGTTATATTCACCAGGGACATTTTCTGTTAACACCCCTTTCATATGAAACACTTGAATTTGCTGCCTCATTTTCATCTGATCAGTGTGCCGAAGGTGTTGTTTCCGTTGCTGGGGATGCATTGAGAGTTTTCACTATTGAGCGTCTTGGAGAAACCTTCAATGAGACTGCTATTCCTTTGAGGTACACTCCTAGGAGGTTTGTATTGCAACCTAAGCGGAAATTGTTGGTAATTATAGAGAGCGACCAAGGATCATATACTGCAGAAGAACGCGAAGCTGCAAGAAAGGAATGCTTTGAGGCTGCTGGGATGGGAGAAAATGGCAACGGTAATATGAACCAAATGGAAAATGGTGGGGATGATGAGGACAAAGAGGATCCCCTCTGTGATGAGCAGTATGGTTATCCAAAGGCAGAGTCAAACAAGTGGGTTTCTTGCATTAGAGTTCTTGATCCCAGGACAGCTGCCACAACTTGCCTTTTGGAGCTTCAGGACAATGAAGCTGCTTTCAGTGTGTGTACTGTGAATTTCCATGATAAAGAGTATGGAACTCTCTTGGCTGTTGGCACGGGCAAGGGGCTACAGTTTTGGCCCAAAAGAAGCTTAGTTGCAGGATTCATTCACATTTATAGGTTTCTAGAAGATGGCAGATCACTTGAACTTCTGCACAAGACACAAGTGGAAGGTGTTCCTCTTGCTTTATGCCAGTTTCAGGGAAGACTACTTGCTGGGATAGGATCTGTGCTCCGATTATATGATTTGGGGAAAAAGAGACTGCTTAGGAAATGTGAGAATAAGCTTTTCCCTAACTCTATTGTCTCTATCCAGACTTATCGGGATAGAATATATGTTGGGGACATCCAAGAGGTATGGTTTTTGAGATTTTTTCCCCCTTTCTGGATTCTCATGTCTTTATCTCTTTCCTTAAGAATTTTACTTTTATTATTTGTATGCTTGCTTCATATGGATTTTGTAAAATTGATCAACCAATTTAATTTAGGCTATGATTGAAGGTAAGAAAGGTTTGCAAGGTCTTTTTAATCTTGTCTTGGTTCTTAAACTAGAGTCCACTTTGATTCTATGAATTCCTCTGTTTTGCTCCCCTTTGTCAATTATTGGCATACTGATATTAAATATTGTCCTTTATTGCAGTCGTTCCATTTTTGCAAGTATAGGAGGGATGAAAATCAACTGTACATATTTTCCGATGATGTAGTTCCAAGATGGCTTACTGCATCATACCATATAGATTTTGACACCATGGCTGGTGCAGACAAGTTTGGGAATGTCTATTTTGTGCGGCTACCACAAGATGTGTCGGATGAAATTGAGGAAGATCCAACTGGTGGAAAGATAAAATGGGAACAAGGGAGGCTCAATGGAGCTCCTAACAAGGTAGAGGAGATAGTTCAGTTCCATGTTGGAGATGTGGTGACTAGCTTGCAGAAGGCATCTCTTATACCAGGTGGTGGAGAATGTGTGCTTTATGGAACGGTAATGGGGAGCTTGGGGGCATTGCTCCCATTCACTTCTCGTGATGATGTTGACTTCTTTTCTCACCTAGAGATGCATATGAGACAAGAACACCCTCCCTTGTGCGGACGAGATCATATGGCTTATAGATCTGCTTATTTCCCTGTCAAGGTGAACCTCCTGCTTCCTTATACACTGAATTTTATTGAAATCATATTCTCACAGATGGCATGTTGTTAAATTGGAAGATTTTCCGAGTTCTATGTATCTATCATTTTATCTTTCATTATATCATCTACAATTGTATATCAGCATTACATTTTGCCAGTTCATTGTCCATCTCATTATCATGCTATTAAAAGAAAAAAATTGATTTGTTTGAAAAATGATGTGAAGGTTGATTCTTTGGTGTAAATAATTGCCATCAAACTCTGGTTAGCCATATCATCTTTGGTGTAAATGATGTCGTGAGGGTTGACCCTTATTTTATATATCGTTTTACTTGTGGTATGAAAGCTTGAATTGATTTGCAGGATGTGGTCGATGGGGATTTGTGCGAGCAGTTTCCGACCCTACCATTGGATTTACAGAGAAAAATTGCAGACGAATTGGATCGTACTCCTGGGAGATACTGAAGAAACTTGAGGAAGTCCGAAACAAGATCATTTGAGATCAGAGCTGATAGCATCAAAGTTTAAGGTAGCTTCCATTCCCTCTCCAGTTTCGGTTTATTTTGTGCAATTTAGATTATTGTTCCTCGAACTGCAATTAGTTGATAATAATCTAATTAGTTTCTGCCTATTGGTATCATTGCTCGAGAGTAGGTCCTCTGTTTGCATGTCTTTTACCCGGATCGTGGGTTACAAATTGCGGCTAAGAAGGCTGTAGCATGTCGAAATCTGAGGCAGAGAAGGAAGAAATCAGACATCGAGTCGAGTCGGAAGCATGAGACGAGGGTGGAAGTACTGTATAAGTAGTTCGGAAGCAAACTAGTTTTGTAGTAGAGGCAAAAATCAGTGTAAGTTGCTGCAGAATTGAGTATTTGCTGTTGTTGCAGTTTGTAACTCGATTGTCTTATGAGTTCGGTTGTTAATTGATAGACATCTAATGCCCCTTTTATATTACAAAAGATAATAATTTATTAAAAATAAAATTTAATTTAAATAATTGTTAATTTTTAACAAAAAATTAACGCACTAAAATTTACTTTAAAATAACTCAATATTTAAAGGTCGATCGAATATGTTTAAACTTTTAATAGTCTTTGAATTAAATGTTACAAGTGATTAATCATTGTATTAAAAAATAATATATCTCGTGTGAGATATATTTTATTTATTATTTTAATGTAAAATGCATCATATACTAATGAATTATGTTCAATTTAATCACCAGATATAGGTTATACAATAGTCATTAAATTTATCTAATTGTTATAAAACAATCATTACAACGTAGAGAGTAATGGTCGTGTAGAATCAGATTTTTATTAGACTCAAATTTAATTTGACATCTGATCCAACTTAAATTCAGAGAAGTTTAGGGTAAAAACTCGCACCTAACCTACATATAAAAAATTCTTATTTTTATTTGATAAAATAAAGATTCAATTGAAAAAATATAGAGAGTAACGTATATCAATTATCTTTAAATGGATAATAGAAAATTATGTTATTATATTGAGTTGAGTCGAAATATATTTTTCACATTAAAATCAAATTTGATTAAACTCGACCTCATATTTCATAAACCCGACTAAAACTTGAATTTCAAGAAAAAACTGATCTTATAATTTTTAAAAGTTTTATACGAATTGATTGAATATAATTTAGTGACCTCTCCTGTACTTTATCCAATATTTTGTTACAAAATATTCGGGGGGCAGAAAACCTTAAATTAAACCCGGCCCAAGTAATTCGGTCTCTTCCCAGTTCCAAACTGAACCATTACAGGCTTACAGCAGCCGTCTTCACACCTGGTCTCTCAATCTCTGTCGAAACCCACCATTTTCACCTCTTGGCCGTCTTCTTCTCCGATTCGCCACCTCACCGACTCTCAAACCCAGGTTTGCTTTTAATTGTTATTGTTATTTTCCTTCTTCTTTTTTCAGTTTCTTCAATGGGTCTTCGTTGTATCTCTAGGAAGTCTAGAAATTGATTGTTAACTTTGATGCAGATTAAGCATTACTGTTTATCATATGCACCTTATGATTTTTGAGCTGATAAGTCTATATCAGCTTGATCCTGTTCCTTTTTAAATTAGTTTTTGTAATAAAATTTAAGATATAATTAGGGTTTTGTTTGCTTTGATACCGAGGACCATAACCTTTTAGTTTTTTAATCGTGTTTATGTTAAGAATTATTGTATGTAGAAGCTCTTGAATTGATTTACAGCTTGAACTCTGGATTCCAAATCCCACACCCGTGATTTATAGAGCTGCTGCTATTTTTCGAATTCCGACTCTCTACTCCGATGTTTATAGCAATTGATAACGATAGCATCTGTCATGCTTCCGGTGAATATGACATGATCAAAAAAGTACCCGTTGCCACAATTTGTATTCATGATATTATAACTTAGAACTCGTTTTGTCGAGAGTTTTTGCTTTCCTAATCTGTCGCTACTTGAGGTCGTTTCATGAGTATTGCTTCCGTTGTGTTTATTAGTAGTATCATTTGTGGAGATCGGTTTTCTTCTCCTTTTGAGATAATGTGCAAATGATTGGTGTATGAACTAAAAAATTTGATCAAGTTTAGATTAATTTTGTGAACTTTTTCCGAGTATGGTCCTCAGCTGGCAGAATAAGCTTCGTTTGTGATGGTTTTGAGTTTCGTTTCAAATTAGATATTTTTTACTGTTTTAGCTCAACGGTGGTTGTTCATATAGTCATTCTCAGCTGTCGGTGTTACCCTTTTATGATTTTGCACTGTGGATATTCTACCTGCAACATTTAACATTAATCTTCCTATTATTCGATCATGAAAGTACGTTTTCAAAGATTTATTTCTGTCTCTACTCTGAGGTGTCTTGTCTCCCTTAACATATTTCCTGTTTCTGTAACCATTTCCTTCTTTTACAGAGAAAAAATGGCCAGCAAATCCGAGAGTAAGGAACCAGTGAACGAACAAGTGGTTGCAAATATGTATGGAGCTATGAGATCTGAACTGAACCAAATTTATTCTAAGATCACCGAGTTGGAGATGGAAGTGAGTGAGCATTCACTAGTTATAAATGCCATTGAGCCGCTTGACCCATCAAGGCGGTGTTACCGGATGATCGGAGGTGTGCTGGTGGAGAGAACCATCAAAGAGGTTCTCCCTGCTGTGCAGCGAAACAAAGAAGGGCTTGAGGAAGTAATTGCTCGGCTTAACGAGACCCTGGAGAAGAAGAAAAAGGAAATTGCTGATTTCGAGACAAAATACAAAATTAGGATCAAAAAGTCCGATGGCGACTCAAAAGATGAAAGCGGCAAGAAGGAAGGCTCGGCTCAAGGAGTTCTTGTCGGCCCTGCCAGTTCGAGTCAGTAAGGTATAGGTACATTCCTTACCTTGCTTGCTTGCTCAAACTTGCTGTGATAAACCCTAAAACCTTTATTCAGTTATTGCTAAGATGTACCAAGTTTTCGATGATCATATTATGTTTTGTTCGATTAGGGTTTTATGTTTCAGTTTTTGCCTTGTTCCTGGATTGATTTTCCTTGCAAATAGGTAATCATTTGTTTAAGAAAAGAATGATAACCCAGTTTCTTTTTCTAGAAAGGTAGATTCAACATTTATCTTTCGAGTAAACAATCACGATCGAACTACCGAGTTGAAGCTTCAGATTTTTTTTCTTCTTCAATGGTTATGACTAGAGTTTATTGTTCTTGTTCAAAGACGAATGATCAGTTTCAACTTTTTTCAACATCTCCGGCCTTGGATTTCTGCATTGTGTTCGTTTGTCTAACCACTTAATAATGCCGGCAAGAACGATTTCGATGTCTTCCGAGGGCTCGCAAAAGCGTGCCACATTTCGGGGTAGAGCTTGATGGGGACTTGTCTGTGGTTGAAGCTACCTTGAAAGGTTCTTTGCTAACTTGTGGAGCTGTAACTTTGTCTTCTTCACCATGGAGAACTATAAATGGAATTGTAACCTAATAATTAGGTTTCACAAAGAAAGGCGTCATCAACATCTTACATCACGTAATCCATTCAGTTTGATGTAACATTTCAAACTAGGTTACAATCAATTCGGTTAGATATAAAAATCAACGCGTCACAAATATTTTTTTTCTATTTGTTTTGGAGATGGGGTATTATAGTAATTTTCTTCTGTTTTTTTTGGTGATGGGATATTTGAGTTTTTATTGTCAAATAATTAAGAATCTTTAGAACATATATTACATTGTAATCATATTCTAGATTAATATAAAATAATCATTATAGCTTTAATTACAGGAAAGGAATGGTGCAATGACTTTGCATTATACAACGGGGTTAAAAAGTAAATTGGATTAGAAAATTCATAATTATAATATATTTTATAAGATTAATCAATTAATAAATTAGATAAAAATAATTATGTAAGAAATATTATCATAATTGAAATTTTTTCTATCCATATGTTATTCATTTCTTATATTATATATCTTATAGGATCGTATTCACGATTTTTAATTAGGAATTATATTAAACTATGAAAATATCATTATAATATTTATGGTTTTCTAATCGTTTTCATTTAAATTAATATTTAATTAATACATGACATTGTTCGATTAAGAGCCGTACAATAATACTAGATTTTTAAAAAAAATTCCTTTATAATTTTTCACAGTATCATCCAATTAATTTGTTTGTTAAGAAACCCCTAATCACCGAAAAGTTCACATATGTTTTGAGATCAAAATCTCATCATTTTGAAGCTTCAATTCCCTCTCCAACCTCGAATTTCCGGATTTGGTTCTCCGATTCAACCAGACAATGATATCCGCAAACACAATCTCGATGTTTTCTGGTGTTTCACCGTACAATAATCCGTGCCACATTCCGGGATACAACTTGAAACTCTTGTCCGAGCTTGCTGCAACATCATAGAGTAGTTGGCTCACTGCTTTATCTGTTACTCTGTCATCTCCTCCGTGTAAAACTATAAATGGTAATGAAACCTGTTCCAAATTAACAACAAAATTTTTGAGATTCGAATCTAGAACCTATTAAATGTAACATCTTAAAGTTTTATCAAACATTTTTCTCGATTTAATTATGAAAAAGGAAATCATTAATTCACCGTACGTACTCAAATTAACCCAATGATAAAAGATTGATACTATTCTGATAGTTTAGAGAACAAATTAACTCGAAAAAGATAAGAACAAACAAACCTCATGAAGTCTTTGCTCAAGCTCCAAGCTAGTGTTTAGAAGTTCATTGGCGGTGTTCAAACGAGGACGTCCTTTGTAGCAATAAGGATTTGCTCTGACCTGTAAATTAAATTAAATTTTCAAATTAATAAACTATAATTTCATATAAACATATAACTGTTTTCATTGTGTTAGGATATTTAAAAAAACTATTTCGGTCACCAATCCTTTTATTAAATAAATCATCACTGATGTTACGTTTTTTTTATTAGATATTAAAAAATTAATGATAATACTAATGTAATTTTTCTCATTTTTGAATTTCCATATTATTTTCTTGGGTGAACAAAATAGAAGAAAGAAACGTAACTTAATGACGATTTCATAAAAAGATGGTTATCAAAATGAAAAATAGGAATAGTTGGGGGACCACAATAGGGTAATTAACCCTTTGAAAACAGAAATACCTGTGCTCTTATTTCAGGCTGTTTAAAAGCAGCATCAATGACATCTTGGACCGGAACTATTCGCCACGTTGGAATAATTTTGTTCAGCTTTCGCAGTACACTTATGACTAAAGGATGTGGCTTCATATCATCTGCCACCTGTATATATAAAATAAATTATTAATAAATATCGACTATCAATCAATTTAATGAGAAGAAACCATAGAAATTTTTAATTAAGATTAAATACTCAAATTCTAATATCACAATTTTTTATAATATTTGATTTAAATTAATTAGCTAATTAGATGACATTTTTCAAAAGAAAAGGCAGCAATAATGAACACAATTTCTATTCCATTATAACAGCTGTTCAAATGTTTGAAATATTTTTAAAATAGTAGAAGGACCAAGATCATAATTTTACCAAAAGTTAGAAGAATGCATAAGTAAATTATGAATTTGTTGAATAATTTGTTTTAAAATTTTTGAGTGGGCCTATACTTTTTTTTAAACGTGAGGTGATCTTTTGACATTTTTGAAGGGCCTAAAAGTAATATGTATATATATATGGTTTTATTTTTAGGTATAAAAAATAAATTTAAAGTTCCAAACAATTTGATTTTAAATATAATCACAATCCATGTAATTATGAATACCAAAGAGTTTATATGGTAATTTTCTTCCTTCAAATGTTGACTTTCTCTCAAGAAGGAAAAATCAAAGCTTAAACTTTAGATTATCCTAATAACTAATTTTTGAGTCAACACGTATTATATATAGGGTATGATCCACTTATATATGCGTAAAACTTTTAGTTTTATACATTTTTAAGATCGTTAGATGAGAGATAATCAAATACTGAGATTAATTTCTTATTTTTTTTACAGTGAATATCTTCACATTTCTTACTGTTAATCCGAGTCTTTGATTTTCCTTCGTCTAACGATTCTAAAAAGGTGTAAGATTAAAAAATTTTACACATATAATTGGATCCTACCCCATTATATATATATGGCCTGATTTGGATATTAGATTAAAAAATTAATTTAAATATAAAAAATAAAGGGGATATAATCCTGTATTAATAAAATAAAGGGAATATATGATTTACCTTACACATGGGGGCGACCAAGACTGCCCCATCCCAGTAATCTGGCTTCTTCCTATGTACCAACAACAACACTGCTCCTCCCATGGATTCTCCTAACAAATATCTCATCTTCCTCTTGTTCTCCTTCTTCTCTATAAAGATTTATTCGAGATTCGTATTAATTAATTAGTCAGAATCAGATACAGAATTACATGTTATAAAATATTTTATCTAATAATATTTTATGATGTCTATATATTTATATTAAAATCAAATTACATTAAGATTAGATAATCAATCCTTCCTGATATTTGATCTTAACACCGTTCTAATCCGATGATACTTACCACAAATACCAGTGAAGAAATTGGAGCAATCATCAACAACATTTTCAAAGCTTGAGATGTATCCCTGCAAGCCAGATGACTTCCCATGGCCTTCATAATCTATTCCATAAACAGCATATCCTGCTTTCACCAACCGAATTGCAGTGCCTGGATTTACCAATCATCTTCATCAGATTTAAGATCACCAGCAATTCTCATCTCTTCATACATACATACATACATACATATGTAGACTTACTGTTCATGGTGATGCTGCATTCCATGGCATATCCATGGCAGATGAAGATCAAAGCTTTGGGTTCTTCGTTCACCGGAACCCATCTGCATGTGAACAGCTTCAATCCTCGAGAATTCGTAATGTATTCCTGCAAGAACACGGTTCAGTTTCCGTTCCTAAACTGGTAATAATATATATATATCCATGATCGATCACTGACCTCTTCGTATCGAACAGCTCCATCTTCAAGATCCTGAAGAACAAAATCGAAAACCCAGATATGATATATAATCAGAAACACGATAACGTGTAAAAAACAACAAAGAGAAATCAAAATACGATGGGATAAGAACAAACCATGGATTTTCTTGTTAAAACGTAGGATGGGGAGAGATACTGCAACTAAAGAGAAAACGATTTGACCAGAAGATACACACGCGCACGAAAGTTCAAAGCTTTAATGGGGGTTGACACAACTTTGTGATCGAAGCTATATATATAGATAAACGTATATTTATATATGTATGTATGTATGTATGTAGAGAGAGATGTGTGTGCATTAATGCGGCTTTGGCTTATATATATATATATGTATGTATGTATGTATGTCGAGAGGGATGTGTGTGCGTTAATGAGGTTTTGGCGTTTTGGGGCTACTTGCTTGCATGTTTATCCAACTTGGGATTCAAAACTCCGTTACTAAAGTAAAGGGATTACGTAACGAATAGAGAATAAAATATATTATTTGTGGTTCAAATAGTTTTAAATAATAGTAGTATCTAGATTTTTAAAAGAATCCATAATTAATTTTAATCCGGATAGAGATGAATATTTTACATGAACTTTACATATTTTAATCTAACACGTTATTAAAAGGTCATTTAAAAGTAAATAATTTTAACTTAGTCGGATCATTTTATTTTGATCAACACCTACGTTCGTATGTCAACATAATTGAGGATATTATCTAGAATACTAAAATTAGTATCAATTGTGGATATCTATTCATATTCATATTAATACATATTTACGATATATATTACACGATGTTTCTTTCTGAATAATATTAATTGAGATTCATAGGTGGAATCACATCTTTATTCATGATTTTAATATTTAGAGAAAACTTATAATTATCGTAACATGTGAAAATTTTACTAAAAGTCGTATCAATCTATCAAATGATGATAATTTTATTGTTATTGTGGGTTTTAATTAATTTTTAATCTAAAATCCTATTATTTCTCTTTAGGAAAAAGCAGTCAAGGGAATTAGCAATTGGATTATGTCAAAAAGGATCAAAACCATCATAAAAAGTTGAAATCCATCCACATGTGAACCGCTTTTTGCAGAAAAACATTTGTCTAACCGCGGGCAAACTACGTTATAGACGGCAGCTTTGACTCCCAAACGCAAAGCCTCCGGCAGACGCGTCACGTTTTCATCATTCCTTTTTTTCTTAATATAAAAATAACCATTCAAACTATGTTTAAAAAAATATTCTAATATTTAAAAAACAATTCGTAAAAAATAAGTGTTTAATATTTTTTAATTACTATTTTAGGTGTGTGGACGTTAATCGACATTAAAAAACCTGTTAAATAACACGTGTTATGTTGGTAGTTTTGAATTTTTTTATTTTTTTAAATATTTTTAATTAAAAATAAGTCCCTGCGAAATTCCACCCCCACCCCCTCACCCCCGTCGCATTCCCCCTCCCTCGCCTGTGCTATCCCCGTCATCCCCATGCTTTATATTTAATAACAAATTTGGGTTGAATTTAATAATTATTTTAGGATTATGTTTAGGGATTTGGGTATTAAGTTTAAGGATTTACGTTTAAAAATTTATAGATTTAAAGGGATTTGGTATTCGATCGGTTGTTAAAGTATGGGAGTTTTATCGTGGGTGGTTGGCCGGTCACACGCCTTCGGGTGTTCGGCCAATTGACGGCTTTGGTGGTGGCTGGCAATGACAAAGGGACTAAAATGAAGGTTTTAAGAGTTCTGAGCTTTTTTTAAGATTTGAAAAAATAGCCTTTTTAAGATTTGAAAAAATGGATTTTTTAAATATATATTTTTATTTTAAATAAAAAATCTCAAAATACCAGAATGTGACACGTGTCACTTAACGGAGATTTTTAACAACGGTTAACATCCGAACACCTAAAAATGTAATGAAGAAAATGTTAGACACCTATTTTTAACGAAAAATTCTTTAGGCACTAAAATATTTTTCAAGGTATAGTTTGGACACTTATTTTTGTATTAAGCCTTCTTTATTATGGGTTTTCGTCTACCTTTATCTACTCGTTTCATCACCAGTCAATCTCTGATAGTTTTGTTGTACGATAATTTAATTTAAAGTTAAATTAAAATGATTTGTAACCGAAAAGTTTGGACACTTAGTTCTGTTGTAACCGAAAAGATATATTACGCTTACAACAAAAAAATATTATAAAAAAGGTAATATTTTTGGGTTACAACCTCTCAAACCTAAAATATTATTTTGTCTAACTTAAAAAGTTACACTCTTGATAAAATTTTCGATTATGACTGATTTTGTCTTTTTTAACCATATACTAACAAGTTATATTTTAAAATTTTATAGCCAATCTCTCTATCTTTAAGATTCGATTATAACTTCTAACCGCTTTTGATTTAACGACAAGGTTAAGGTTTACAAAATTTCGACATATAATATTTAATTTGTTTATATTTATTTTAATTTAAGTTTAGTAATATGTGAGATTCATTATAAAAGTATAATAGGGACTAATAATTCATGGTCAGTGCAAATATTAATGGCTAGAGGACCGTTACCATATTTCAAAGAAAATTATTAGGAGCTTTATTATACAATAATAAAAATGGCTTAAATAACATTATTGTTGTCTGCCATAATTCAACAATGATGTCATTTGTGTGACTTTAGGCCCTAAATTTGGCCCTGTATTCTTTTTTTTCTTCTAAATAACTTCAGCCCCTAATATTTTTTTAGTTTTTTTCTGGCCGTTGAAATTTTATTATTATTTTTATCAAATCAAATCATTTGAAAAAATATTAGATTTTAAATGATTTTTAACTTATCTTCTATAAATTTTAATATTTTTATACTTTTTAATTATTTAAATATATTTTTAATATTGTATAGGTTTAAATATTTAAAAAATACTTGTATAAATGATAAAATAACTAATCTCAATTTTTATGAAAATATAAAATAGTTGACATGAACTTAACGAGTTTAGTATCTTTCCCACTCGTTGTCTTAGTTCGACATATAAGTTTAAGACAAAAAAATGAAAACATTTAAAGACGAATAATCTAAATTACATATTGCATTTGCTCATTATATGGGAAAAGATGACCTTCATACCTAATTTATTTTATTAATATTGTTAGAATTCAAATTCAAAGTATTATTTAAAGGATTTAGCGTCTCATCTCGCTAAATCGACATTGATTGATTGTGACCCCGTAAAAAGTGTATATTTCATGACTTTTACTTGAATTAGTGTTTGTTTTAAAACTCATTTAATTACATTTAGTGGCATTAATCATGCATGTGGCATAGTTTGCTTGTTGGTCTTTAATTATCCTATAAAGGATGTTGTGATAGGAAAAAGGTAGTGTTTTTGTGGTCATTTTGTTTTTGTTGGTCTCATCTCGCTAAACCGACATTGATTGATCATATTATTTTTGATACAATATCTAAATCGTCTAAACTCCCTTTAAATCCTGAGTAGGAAGATAATGTATACTATATACATTTAAACCCACGTCCTCTCAATGTTACAACAACATTTATGTTAATCGAATTAAAATTTGTTCGAAAAAATATATATCATATTTTTTTTGAGAAAGCAGAAACCCAAGACACTTAAATTCATAAAAAAATCCTAACCATATAAATTCCAACACTCATCATATTTATCTATTAAATATCTCAAAGACTAAACACAAAATAATTTATATTTATATAAATTCTAATGCATTAATAATTCATGTATACGTTCATTTATAGCTTATTTTAATTAATCTTCATAATGTATTCAAGTTATTTGGAATGTGCTGTCTAATACTAGTGGGTTCATATTAAAAAATATGAACCGGACGTCTCTTTAAACACGAAGAATATATGATCAATAGAATTACCAATTTGCCACTAAAAACAAGATTTCGAATTTTAATATTACAAATAAAAAATACAATTATAAAAATTATTATCCATTAAAATCATACAATTTAATTTAATTTTATAATATAATCAGAACTTATGTAGTTATGAAATACATAAATTTCTGGAAAAAAATAGTCAAATGAGAGTTAAGCAATTATTATAGTTGAAGAACGATAACTAATAATTATAAAAATATATCATTCAATCACTTTCTTTCTTTTATGATGTTAATATAATATGTCGCCCTTTTAAGAATAATATGTCAAATAACCATTAAATATTATTATGACCCTTAACCAAATCATTAATTATATATTTGTATTACTTTAATTAAGAGATCTCTTTATATAAAGTTGGGTTAGGTGAGGATAAGGTTGTTAAATATTACATCTAAAAATATATATTAGGTTTTAGATTTTAAGAAAACCCAAAAAAATGAAAATTATATTAGTAGGGACGTACGTAGGATTTTATGTTAGATCGGATAAATTTATAAAATTTTAAGGAACGACAAACTTATAAAATTTTAAAAGAACGAAAATAGATTCTTAATAAGCAATACAAAAAAGATATCTAAAATATATAAGAATTTAATTTTTTTTAAGGAGATGATTGCCCTACCCACGGTACATCCTTTTGTGTATGAAAATTTAAGGTTGGAATTATATTCTCTGATTATATTGCATGGTATGTATAAAAAAGTTACCGTGTTAACAAATTTAGCTTTTAGGTTTATATATTTTATTAATATATTTATTTAATAATCCAAAATAAAACATTTATCTATTTAAAAATAAATATTTTTTAAAATTAACCAATAAACAAAAAACTTGCTATTTTTTATATTTTTTAAATAATTTATATATTTGTGTAATCTAATAATTCCAATAAAATTATTTGAAAACCTTCAATTTGGAATATGAACTTCCTATTTGAAAAATTATTTGGCGCTTACCAGTTCCTCCGTGCCTCCGACTATCTATATGACTTTCTTACGCCTAATAATTAACCTTGAACGTTGTCGCCGTTCTATTGAAAATAGTTGGATATGTACATGCTGTCGTGAAAAAGATGAGTATGTCTCCGTGACTGTAAGATCACCAAAGCTTGGTCAAAGGACTTTACATGGATGCCGCGTGAAGCTAACAAGACGGTCTAAACTTGCTTATCCCTACAGGAATACAACTGCAGTGCTCGACGATATGTCTTGATTTCTCTACAGCAACAAGATCGTTTCGGACCACCGTATTGTAAGTCTAAATATTAATTAGGCTAGTCTTCTATCTTCACTCAAAAAAACAATTCCAATAAATTTTAGCCCCAAAATATCAAATTTTATTGAAACCCGAAGAAATAAAAGAAAGCCCAGCAAGGCCCATGTAATCGCTATACTTAAAAACCCTTCGCTTCTTCAAAATTTAGGGTTTGTGAGAGAAGCCGGCTTTGTAGTCACAGAAGAAGAAGAACAGCAGAAGAAGCAGGCAATGGGTAACTGATCATTAACCTTTAAATTTTTTGAATTCGTTAACTTTGGGGAATCTGGACTTGGTAATTTCATGTTTTTGTTTGTAAATATACTATTAAATTCAAAACAGCGAGGATTAAGGTCCATGAGCTGAGGCAGAAATCGAAGACTGAGCTTTTGGCTCAGTTGAAAGATCTCAAAGCTGAACTTGCTCTTCTTCGCGTTGCCAAAGTTACCGGCGGTGCACCTAACAAGCTTTCGAAGATGTAAGTCTATTTCTCTCTAATTTTGCATTGTTTTATTACTTTTTAGCTTTGGATCTTAAATTTATTTTCTTATTGGGTATATAAAATGGATTTTGATTTCTTTCCGATAAGAGAAAGGAAAGTAGCGGGGACTATGGTTATATCGTCTAAATTCAAAGTTAATAGTAACCTAATAAGTATTTAATCCAAAGCTTGGTAGGGGCAATGATTAATTTGAAAAACATTTAAACTAGCAGGGATTAAAAGTGTCATTAGACAAAAAAATGGTGAATTTCAAAGTTAAGGACCTAAGAACATGTAAAGCATTTTAAGCACGAGTTAGGGACTCCTGTATGTGAGCTTCATTTATGGTTTGTTAATTGAACAAATTCAGTTCGGCCATGTCGATATGGTTCGTTAATGTTGCGGTTCTCCATTCATTTGTTTTGGAATGTTGTTCTGATACTGGTTTCGGCATCGATGCAGCAAGGTGGTGAGGCTGTCCGTTGCTCAGGTATTGACAGTAATCTCACAGAAGCAGAAGGCTGCACTGAGGGAGGCATATAAGAATAAGAAGTTCTTGCCCCTTGACCTGCGTCCCAAGAAGACCCGAGCTATCCGCAGAAGGCTTACCAAGCACCAGGTAGCTGCGTCCTTGCATTTTGTTCAAGTAATATATTTTAATTCCTCTTATCAGGTTACCGAAACTGCCAGCATCATTGAAACTTCAAGTACATAGAGAACTAACAACGGTTTTGATTTTTCGTGTATATGCTCCGTTTTTTTTGTATTTGAAACTTCTAATGTTTTGCTTGGCAGGCATCATTGAAGACTGAAAGGGAGAAGAAGAAGGAAATTTACTTCCCAATGAGGAAGTATGCCATTAAGGTGTAGGGTAGGGACTCATTCTATTTACATTTCAATAGTCCTCTACTTTCTAGCTGTTTTGTTCGTAAAACTCTAGTTGTGATTTCGTTTGATTTTAGTGTTTTTGAACCTTTTCTCTCTTATCGAAACCAAGATTCTGATCTTTTTGATGCAGTGGTAATTGATGAATTTTTGCATTTGATTTGGTTCTAAGATTATTATCAATTTATCATAATGCCTGAATATTAGTTTTACGTAAAAATATATCCATTGGATGAATCTAAATGGATGGCTGAGAGTAAAACTGCATGTATTAACATCGTTCTAAAAAAATAGAATCACATAAAGGCGATCAACAGGTCGAGGAACGGGTTGCCAACCTGTGCATACTTGAAGGACATGTTTCAAAGAATCCGAGGGAGCTTCCATTGTCCATGTTTTATAGTATTCACTTGGATGGAACATACTTTCACTAATGCCTGCTAGTATGCGTGTTTGTGCCTCATTCAGAAACATGTCCCCCTCCAATCTTATTGTGCCGGAACATGCCTCTTCTCGGTCGGCTGCCTATGTTTCCGGCATTCAAAACAAATCGAGTTAAATGACAGTCTCTTCTCTTTAAACTTGATGATTCGAACTCAAAGTCCTACATCTGTTTAGTAAAACATTGTCACCTTCTCAGTATAAAATTCGAAGGTTTTCTTCTTCTTTTCAGCTTCATATATGTTGCACTGGGAATATATCTAATCAACATGAAACATACACACAATTAGGGAACAAATCATGCATGTAATTTATCGTGCTTTGGATTTTTTTGTTTGGTGATATTTTTAATATTTGTTAAATTAAATTATTTGTCTTAAATATTGGACTAAATATTTTTGTTTCCCTATAGATTTTGAAGGTAGACAAATTAACCCGTTCTATTGTCTAATCTTGACTCGGGATGGGCATGAATTGGGTTGAGTTTTTGGTTAAATCGAACTTGATTTGAGTATTATTTCCTCCTCCTCATCGCTCGATTTGACTTGAGTTTATGGAGTTTTGGAATAAACATACATTCGATATGACCCAATTCAATATATATATAATTTTATTAAGTAAAATGAAGACTTAATTAAAAAGATAAAAGAATACTATTATAATCATCTCAAAATATATAAGAGATAATTATATCTAAAATATTTTTTTTTCTTCTTAAATTTGAACATGTCTCGACCTTATCCTCAAAATAACCTGATTCAAATCTAATATCTTTTTTCTTTTCCTAAATCTAGTGTCATAAGATCAATTGAAATTGAAACTCAGTTTCAAATCTCATATTCAAGTAGAATATTTTTTAAGAAAAAAAACTTTATAAATATGATGGAATTGAAATCTGAGGTACTTGAATCTCATGTCTATCCCTGATCTTTACTATGTACATGATTGAAACGTACCCGGACTTCTACACTTTATAAATATGATGGAATTGAAGTGGTGCTTTAATCCCATGTCCGTCCCTAATCCTTACTATGTACATGATTGAAATGCACTTGGGCTTCTACACTTTATAACTATGATGTAATTGAAATATATGGTACTTTGAATCCTATGTCCATTCCTAATCCTTACTATATACATGATTGAAACGTACCTGGGCTTCTACACTTGCACAAACAGCATAAACTTGCCAGTTTCGAGTATAATTGTTGTACAAATGAACTTTCCCAAACCTAACACGAGGTTGTCTTTGTCGAATTCCATCGAAAAAACAATGGTGAATCGTCACTCTGATGCTCCTATCTCCTACATGATTAGGGTCTGCTCCAGTTAACAGTCTTATCATGTTGAGTAAAATAACATCTGAAAATTTTGCAGAAAAACAAGATTAACAACACACTAAAAACTCGTATCCGAAACGTACTCGAACATGGCACGATGGATACTTCCTCGACATTTACTACCATTTGAGTTATCGAGTACGCCATGTCCGAATTTGAGTAACATAATTATAACTAACCTCGAAACGGTGACATCGGTGCTTCCTCGGGTGATATCGATCAGACCGTCATCGTAATCTTTGAAACTACACCTATCGATCCAAATATGTTTCGAATTTGGTTTTATTTGAATTCCATCAACATCGTGTCCTCTTCCTCCTTCGAACTCCATATTACAAATGATCACATTTTCGCATTCTTTCAGTCTCAATCCTTTTCCTATTAGCGTTACTCTTTCTCCTCGTCCGTCGATAGTCTTGTGAGAACCAACGTGTAAGTACGACGATAGTTGGATTGTTCCCGACACATCGAACACGATCCAACCTGGTCCCGGACTCCGACAAGCTTCTCGGAGAGAACCCGGGCCGTCGTCTTCAAGGAGATTATACAGAATACATGTATCAAATAATGAATTTGAAAGAGAGAAAAAGCAACAACAAAAAATCATTAGAGGGACCGGATAATGAGGTGACGGGAAATAGATGACCGTGGAGACAGCCGATGGCGAACTGACCGAAGCCCTCAGCATGACCGTCGATTGCTCTTAGAGTACCATCTACGTCAGCGTACGTAAGCGATGTCATATTTTAGTTCTTGTTGTTGTTAGGCTTAACGCTGTCCTAAGATGTTTTGAAAAGCCGTTAATTTCTGTTACTTAAGGGCCTGTTTGATGGAGGAGTTATATCGACCCATATCAACTATATCGATCTTAAATCGATACCAAATAATTTTAGTTTCATTAAAATTTTGATGTGATTTGATCATTTTGATATATTTGGATCAATGTGTTTATACCATAGCATATCAGTACGTACAAATTGATATAAAATTTATTAGTTAAAATTAGTTTTATTTTTGTAATCTTATCATGTAATCATGTTTAATGTTACATGTTTATCAAACACTCTATAGAGCTGAATATTATTAAATCGAATTGTTCACTTAATTTAAGGTTTCAGAAAAACCCACTAACAAAAATTAATTGTTAAAGAAAAGAAAACAGAAAAGCAAGACCACATGAAAGGATGTTTTGTCTGGCATTTTCATTCCCATTATTTATTCTTTTTTGTCTTTTGCTTTTCTTTCTTAATCTTTTTACTTGTTTTTTTCATATTTTATATCGATTAAAATATTATTAATTAAAATTTAATAAAAATAAAGATGATGTTGTCACATTTGACGAATAATGATGAACACAGTTAATGATGAATATTATTAAATTAATTTATAAAATGTTAAATTATAAATTATTAAACATATAATTATAAACTAGTTAAAAATCTAAATATAATTTAATTAAAATACAATATTTATGAAATATTAGTTTTTATGATAAAATATATCATTGACCGCCTAACTATTTACCTCTTTACTTTAACCACCGATTTTTAAATTTTGTCGATCGGGTCACCTAACTATTTATATATTGCCAATCAAGTCACCTGCAATTAAATATTAACGGAGGAGATGACGTAACAGTTAATAAAATTTATATAATTATACATTTAGTCCTCATTAGTTACACATTCTATTAATTTGGTCCATTCTTTTATTTAATTTAATAAATTTAATCCTTAATCCGATGGTGTCACGTGTCTTCAATTGAATGAATGGATCCCTAACCACAAAGTTGAACCACTAAAATTATCTACTATACAGAGTGTAATCTATATAATTTATTATATAGTTAATGATAATAAATGACTTTATAAGGACTCAAACATGAAATAATTGAATAATATGAAAATATAATATATATATATATATATAATATTATAATAGATTAATAAATGAATATGTTTTATTTATATTTTAAATCACATTTAATGAAAAAATTAAAATAAAAGTGAATTTAATACGTCACAATTGAAATGAATTATTTTATATATTTTAAATTAATAATTTATATTCATTATTCTAATTTTATTGAAATGAATTGTATCATATCTTATATTTTAAAATATTATAACATTGATCGAATACTAATCTTATTTAACAACTCTATATTAAAATAGATTAATTCAATAAAATCAAGTTTCCCAAAAAATTTCTTCAAATATATAATGAATAAATATAAAATATATAATTCTTAATCTAACAGGGATATAAACAAGTCAATGCATAAGTTAGAATGTTTACTACGATAAGCCCTCAACTATCAGGAAAATTCTAAGTTAATGAAGTTCTTCGTTATATTTCAATTATAATACATTAAAATTATTTTTTTTCATTAAAATGATTTAAAATATAAATAAAATGCATTCACATATTAATCAGTTATAATATTTGTGTATATATATCATATTATTCAATTATTCCATGTTGGAGTTCTTATTAGGTCAATTTCTCTTTATTGCCATTAACTATATATATTATGCGTGATAGGTTTGTCATTTGAATGATGCAACCTAGTGGTTGGGGTGTTTACTTCCTCTCCTCATGTCTTGGGTTCAAACCCTACCAACAATGGTTATTGATTCAATTTATTTCATATTCATTCAATTAGTGACACATGTCACCATCTGATTGAGAATTAAAATATTTGAATTAATTAACAGTGAGGACCAAATTAATAGAACGTGCAAGTAATCAAGATTAAATGTGTAATTATAAAAATTTTATTAACTGCCACGTTATCTCCTCCGTTAATAATTAATGACAGGTGGTTTGATTGACAAGATTTAAATAGTTAGGTGGCCCGATTGATAAATTTAAAAAATAGATGGTTAAAGTAAAAATAGTTAGGTGACCCTAAAAACTAACATTTTATAAAATTGTATTTTAATTAAATTACATTTAAATTTTTAACTAATTTCTAATTATACTTTTAGTATTTTATAATTTAACGTTTTATAAATTAATTTAATAATGTTTATCGTTAACCGTACTTATCTACGCTCGTCCAAAGTAGTATTTTTCTAAAATAAATATTTATAACTTAACATTTGAAATATTAAAATAATAATAATAATATCGAATCAAATTCGAGCCGCATTCCTACAGGTGTCTCTTAACCGTTCTAAAGAGGCAAAACAGTTTAGGTTTTATTATCTGATGATTGGTTGGAAGTGAATTAATAATTTGGCTTAGCTTTTACCTAATTTATTCATTTTTTCTCCATTATTATATTATAAGCTTTCAGCCTTTCAAGACAATATAAAAGTATAAATTATAAAAAAAA